TATCAAAGTTAAAAAAAAAAAAGAAAGAAAAGAGGGATAAGAAATGTAAAGTAAGATCTTCTACAATACATATAAAAAATTGTGTCACAAGTTTTATTTAAAAAATGAAAGAGCTAAGAAGTAATTCTTCTTGATATATTTAATATTATTTTTTTCATAGAAATATGAATATGCGTAGACTGACATTACATAAAACTTGATTTTCTTACATTAACATTATCGGATAATTATTCATAAAGCATTGATTCTGTAATTATCATATGTATATATTATGTTGAGACAGATATTCTTGTAACAAACGAGATAAAGAAAGAGTGGATTATTTATCATGTTTAAACCACAAAGATACACTACATTATAATTTTGTGATTTCTTTTTTATCTATATAAAAACCATCAAATTATTATGTAATATCAAGTACAAGGCTATAGAGATGTTTGTAATATCCACAGGTCAGGTGACGCGCGCGCGTGTTATTTCTAAAAATAAAACTAAAAAAGGATAGTAGACGCGAGCGTTTTTCGCGTTAAAGATACAGACAATCGCTCGTGAAATAATTTGAATACTTTGAATGCTTTTAGGGAATATTCATCAGCGTTTCCTGGAACACACGCGCCACTTCTCCGACAGCCTAACTAACCTCCTCTCCGAAAGATGTTGAATAAATATGAGATTACATTTACAAAAGGAGATGAGTCATTCGCGCAGTTTTCGGGGAACCGATTCTGTCCGCCAACGACCCAAGAGGCGGGAAGTCGCGTCGACATCCCGGGAATCCGCTGAGAGAGACGGATACACACATACCTGACACCTGCAAACGACGTCAGCGTCCATCGCCAGCATGTCCACGACCTTTCCCTTGCCCTCGTCGCCCCATTGCGCGCCAAGAACTACCGTGACCTTCGATATAGAACCGCCGCCCGTGGACGTCCGCTGTTTCTTCCTCGGCGAGACCGGGGCACCATTGCCGTTCGCCTGCTGCATCCTCGGGTATACACTGGGATGTCTACGATTGCGAGGATGATCCGTCCGCGCCGGTGTTCCCGCGGAAAACGCGATCCTTCGCGAACAAGTTCCGTCCTGCTTCCTACCACCTCGCCGGGAAACAGCTGACGCGACAGAAATCGGCCGGAACGATTCGGGGCGAGTCGCCGCTTTTGATCTCCCCGACACTCTCCACTCCCCTTCCCCCGTATTCCTCTCCTCTCCTCTCCCGCGCCGAAACCTAACCTGCCTGGTTAAAGCTGGTTTCTATCGGATCAAACGCGTATACGTTCGACACGATATTCGGCTTGCGCGCTTTTCTATCTTCTGCCGAAAAATATATCGAATTATCGCGCAATTACATACTTTTTTTCTAAAATCTAATCAATTTAGGATGTCATGCGCGATAAGGCAAACGATGGACGTAATCGCGATTTTAATTCATATGAACCGTGCATAAGATAAACGCGCGAATAACGCATTGCCTGGGAAATTTTAATGTTTTTCATTCAGCGCTACACTTGACATAAATTATTTCCTGTATACTATATTAACTGCATTTTAGGAAATCTGAACAATTAAATTGGCGAACTAATTATTAAATTTTATTGATCAAACAAAAGGATTATAGTATCTATAAGGAAGTTCATTATAATTGACCTTGTGCTCGTTCAGTGTCGACTCCGATCCGTATATATATATCCTATAGATATTTTGTCGACGACTATTTTTCTATTCGCGTGCAAGAGGATTGTCGAAATAGTTAGAATCGACATAAAAATACAGATTGGAAATAGTTGATAATAGAAATTATAAGTTCCCAGACAGCACAAGGATGTCCTTAGGACGTCCAAAGGGCATCCAGGACATACATGTAGGATATCCTGAGGATATCCTATTTTAATCCTCGGATCTCCTCTGGATGTCCTGAGGAAGAGTAAATGATAGCCGTACACTAGCCTCTGGAGAATCCAGGGAGATCCTGTGAAACATCTGTGGAACATCTTAAGGATTTCTATAGGATATGTTAGGGATATTTTTCACACGTTAAAAAGAACAAATTCTAAAATTTAAATATAAATTAAGATTGCGTTCTGTTATTTACTGCCAATACTAAAAATCTAATACTAAAAATAGTTCACGTTCTTTAATATTTGAGGTTTTCGTGCTGTACATAAATATTTTAGGTTTATGTGTAATATTTTCAAAACAATCCAATATCTGAATCTGAATTCCCTATGTTGGGATTGCATCAGAAATTGAACTGATAAAAAATAATTATATTTTTAATTTCCTGTTAGTTGCTCTTTGCAAGCTTTATATAATTCTCATGACCAAATCTCAAATACGAGTTTGCGCGTCGCATAGCGGTAAACAAACGAACTAGCGGTTGAATACTATTTTTTGTAAAGTTTTTGGAATGTTGCGCATAGTAACATTTCTCATGAAATATTAAATAAACAATAATTTTGAATATGTGAAAATGTGCGCATCAAATTCAATTATTAATATTAAACGAAATTAATGTTAACAATTAATTGCACATGTATATGTCCTCTGGAAATCCAAAGGACATTCAATATAATAGACAGGGCAGATATCCTACAGACATCCAGGAGTTATCCAATGGACATTTATAGGACATTAATACTTATTACAATACTTAAAATTTCTAAATTATATTAAATAGCCTACATAACCGAAAGTAATCATGTATGCATATTAAATTTTCATAAAATATATTTATAATAATATCTTAAAACATCCTACAAATATCCTGAACCATCCTGGACATATTCAGGATGATCCTGAGGACGTTTTGTGCTGTCTGGGTTAAATTAAGAAAAGTAAAAACATTTTATAATATTTTATTGAAATTGATGATCTATATACTTTATATCTATCTACTTTAAATTGATACTTTGTCTAACGAATGGAAATTCAAAAAGAACAAGAAGAATTCTTGGCTTCCTACAGATGGAGAAATACTCGATTGGCGAAGGTTTATTTCAGTACGCATGATGATGTAATTGTGGAGTAATCCGAGTAATCATACTATCCGTTGAGAAACGATGATCGTTCGTGCGTCCAAGACGATAATTTAAAAGATAAGCACCGTATATATATATACACATATATAATCTACATTCATTCATGGCTCGATATGTAAATTGTACTCTTTTTACTCTTTTATAGTTTCTTTTTAAACATACGAATTTCTTCATCGAGCATTCTAATATGATAGAGAATTTTTATAAGATTTTATTTGGAAATTGAAGGAATTGTTTTAGCAAACCGTCACCAAATTACGCGAAATTTTTAATTTTTTTAAATTTTAAATTTATCGCGCTTTTACATAAAGCCTTTCAAGAAAACCAACGACAGGTCTTTTTTCGTTGCAATGTCATTGTGATTAATCAAAATTGCAAATTTCCAACGGAAAAAAGACTGAGAAAATCGTTTATCGAACTACTCGGTATCGTGTTTAACTTTAGAATAAGCTTGTGCCTGGCAAAGTAACAATACGTATACCGGAAAAAGCTGGGCGCACAAGCGCTGTTCAATATTTACATCATCGAAATGGATATATTACCGGATTAGAGACGTGACCCCCGTGGCTTTTTAATTATACAAGCCTCAATGCACCGAGACATCTGCCCTATAGAAACTCTCCGTTCGACGAGAAGAGATTCGTTCCCTCGCTACCGAGTATCAATTACATTGTTATTATTACAGGGGAGTAGCCGAGGAGAGATGCGGTCAGAGAGATAATACACTGGTATAAGAGCATGCACAACAATGGGACAGGTACACGCGGCGTTAACCGAAGCGCGATCCCCCCCCCCCCCCTTTACCCCCCTTGTCGTGCGAGCAATGCGATAGCCATCGCGCGTGCAACTATGCGTTTAATTTGGATTTGCCGCAAAGAGAGAAAGAGAGAAGAAGAGGATGATGCGTGTCGCGAAAACGAGGGGTACGCGCCCCACGAGATAGAGACCCGGGAGCGCGTACTTTTTATAGGTGTGCGTACACACGCATGAGACATATGTGTCCGTATACGCGCAATATATATATATATAGCGAGGAGTTCGTCCTTCGGAAGGTTTAGTGAAACATTCGGGATGACGAGCGAAGCACGGATGAGGAACACGGATTTCAGCATATCCCGTATACTGTCGGACGATCGCGGTTGCTCGCCGAAGACGCGGGCGGATCGGGAGCGGAGGAGCGTCGAGCTGGACGAGAGTCCCGCGCGAAAGTCGCGCGTCCGCTTCCCGGATCACTCGGGAGCGAACGAGGAACGAGAAGCGTCGCGATGCGAGGGAGAGACGCGACGCGAGGAATGCACCGATCGTGTCGTCCCAGGCGAGATGACGGATCCTTTCGTCGTCGGCGCGACGCAACGGGACAGCGAGATACGAAGAGCCGATCTCACGTGGCTCCAGTACACCCGGTACAGACCGCCGAAATTACCCAGGAGGTCCTACGTCGAGAGGCGAACCAAGCGGCGAATGGACGATCGTCCCCGCATCCCATTCTCCTCGTCGCAGCTGCAGGTGTTGGAGGACAGGTACAGGAGGAGCGCCTACCTGTCCAGAAACGACGTCGTCGAGATGTCCGCGATGTTGAGACTGCCGCAGAGCAAAGTATGTCGAAAAAAAAAAAAAAAAATAGGAAATTCTCTTTTTCTTTCTCTTCCTGTCTGAGACGTTTTACCTGCGAACGATCGGTGCTATTAATTCTGTGTTTGTCCATGTATGTCATTGACATTAGATTCTTTGCGTTACGTTGATATTCTCCATCGATTCGCTCCGTTCACGCGGGTGTATTCGAATTTAAATGTTTCGGTCGCAATTTTGGTAGATAAGACAGATTTCTGTTTTATTGGTTGTTCAAAAGTTATCGACACATGATAATGTAGCGAGATTGCATGAAACCATTAGGCCCTGCGCACAATAGAGAAAATATTAGGAATAGGAATGAAATATTAAATATCAGGAGGAGCAATTTGGAATTATTTTACTTCAAACAAGAGAACGGAATGGATTAACCCATAATGAAATAAAAAAATAAAAATTAGAAATAATTAATCCATTCTGTTTCCTTGTTTGAAGTAAAATAATTCCAAATTGCTCCTCCTGATATTTAATATTTTATTCCTATTCCTAATATTTCCTCTATTGTGCGCAGGGCTTTATTCGAAATGTGATTTTATATATATATTATTGCTTTTTTTTGCAGATAAAGATCTGGTTTCAAAATCGTCGAGCGAGACAAAGACGCGAATCGCTGAATTCCACGATAGTGGCGCGATGACAGGACAATATAGAATAAAGCTCTGCAACGGTTTCAAGGTTCAAAGTCGTGGAGGATTTTCGTCGAGGACGTAGGATTTGAATCCGAATTATATTTCAAACGATTCGACTTTTCATATTGCAACTATTTATTTTATGCATTCTTGATTTTTGTACAAATACAGATTTATAAATATATTTAATGTATGTAAAATAATGTACAGACCAATTTTGTTTAGTGCGACAAGAAGCGAGGCTAACATTATGCTTTAAGAGGATGCCGGATACCGACAGAATGCGAATATTAGTAGTTAATAAAATGGACATAAGCCTTTCGCTATAAATCATCATCGAAAATAACAAAAAATATAAATATACAGTTAAATTTTCATTGTGTCAGAAATAAAAGACGCGTTGTAAATATATATAATAAGACATATGAAAATATCACAAATTTCAAAACCAAAAACGAACAATTTTATAATTCGCCCGAAACAATAAAAAAAAAAAAAAAATGTCCGAAAACAAACAATTCTATAATTCATCCGAAATGATAAAAAAAGAAAAAAATGACCATGCTATAACAAAATTAATATTTTTGCACGAATAACATATGTAATAGTTACAAAAAATACGTAAAAATCAAATGAAAAGAGAATGACATTGTCACGAGATAAATCGACACGATTTACATAGTAATATTTTGATCCCGCCAAAAAGAGATCGGACAAAGTAAAAAAATAAAAAAGATATATATAAATCTCGTCTGAGAAAGAGAGAGGAAGAGAAGTTTTCTCTCCGATCTTGTTCTATGCATAACTTGACATTTAATTTAAATGTCTATCGCGAGAGGTCAGTTTTGTCGTCTCGATGCTCGCCGCTCTCTCGTTTCTTCCTCAACACCGGCTGCGCGAGTGGATATGTGTGCATCATATTTAATTTATATATATGTATATGATAGGCACGAGATATCGAACAATAATCTTTTTCCATCATAGAGTAGCCCTACGAATTACGGTTTTAACATAACGGATAAGGCTAATAATGCCGTTGCAAGTTCACGACGTTCAGGTAATTATCCAATTCCAATCGGGAAACAGGCGTCCATCCCTCCAAGATCGAACGATTTAAACCACGGGGTTATCTTCGCAACGTTATTCACGCTCGCATCTCACGATCGCTCTTTGCGATTTAAATAACTCTATTGCCATTTAAAATATACTCTCGCAAGCGCAAAAACGGACAGCGAATGATATTCTGGTATGTGTGTTCCTTTTATTTTGCAGCAAAATGTCGTGGAGCCAATGCAGGTTGATGCTCCTACAGAGGATAATGATAATGCTGAGGAAGAACCGTATATAGTAGAAAATCCAACGTTGGTACGTAAAATTTTTTTAATCTGAAAATGATTTTCATTTTAGGTTAAACAAATGCAATCACTGTATCATGTTTTCTTAACATCAGGATTTGGAGGTATACGCCAACAGTTATACCGGACTTGCAAAATTGCATAGACTTGTATATATCGCCGATCATTGTCCATTATTGAGAATAGAAGCATTGAAAATGGCAATTACTTATGTGATGACCACGTACAATGTTTCGCTTTATATAATGCTACATAAAAAGCTCGTTGAAGCTATGGGTACTCCTGGATTACCAGATGTGGCGGCGCAGTCTACTTCACAAGATATGTTAACGATGGATCAAACATGGGTAGAGACTCGATCAAAGAAAGCTGCTCTAAAATTGGAGAAATTTGATACTGATCTGAAAAATTACAAGAGCAATTCTATCAAGGAGAGCATACGAAGAGGTCATGATGATTTGGGAGATCATTATTTGAATTGCGGCGATCTTGTTCACGCCTTGAAATGCTATTCCAGAGCACGAGATTACTGTACCAGTGGCAAACATGTTGTGAATATGTGTTTAAACGTAATCAAGGTTTCTGTATATTTACAAAATTGGTCACACGTACTTAGTTATGTTACCAAGGCTGAAGGTACACCAGACTTTCCGGAATTGCACGGCAAAGATAATAATCAGGCCATAATTACAAAATTAAAAGTAGCAGCAGGTTTGGCAGAATTGGCAACAAGAAAGTATAAGATGGCTGCAAAACATTTTTTACAAGCGTCCTTAGACCATTGCGATTGCCCTGAGTTATTGTCTCCTGGAAACGTGGCTCTCTATGGAGGACTTTGTGCTTTAGCTACTTTTGACAGACACGAACTGCAAAAACAAGTTATATTTAGTAGTTCTTTCAAATTATTTTTAGAGTTAGAACCGCAACTTCGAGATATAATATTCAAATTTTACGAATCAAAGTATGCCTCCTGTTTGAAATTGCTTGATGAGATAAAGGATAATATTCTCTTGGATATGTATATAGCACCTCACGTGAATCTGTTGTATACGCAAATTCGAAATAGGGCCTTGATACAATACTTTAGTCCTTACCTAAGTGCAGACATGAGACGAATGGCAACAGCATTCAACAGAACAGTATCCGAATTGGAGGATGAGCTCATGCAACTTATTCTCGATGGTCAGATTCAAGCTCGTATAGATTCACACAATAAGGTAAGTGCTGCTTGCAGACTTGATTACACATAATATATTTTTCTTTAACAATATTTTAAGCGTATATTTTTGAAATTATTATAGATTTTGTACGCAAAGGATGTCGATCAACGTAGCACTACTTTCGAAAAATCTATGAGCGTTGGGAAAGATTATCAGAGGCGTACGCGTATGTTGATCTTAAGAGCCGCAATGTTGAAACAGCAAATTCACGTAAAGGTAAATTATAATTAAAGGAAATATCTTTGAGATTATACATGTTCCTCCATTATCGCGCAGTAACTGTAAAAACTTTATCGAAACATTTTGCTTCTATTTAAAAACACATTGTTTATTTTGATAGAGTCCTCAACGCGACAGTACGCAAGGAGGTGAGATGTCGGTAGCACCTGGAAATGGTACTTTAGCAGCAAAAAATTGAAACGTCGTTTGATATCTTATGTTCTGAAAACAAAAAAAAAATTTATATTTATGCGTGTTAACTGCCACGATCACCTAGATATGAGATAAGATTTCATCTCCGCATTCGACATTGCGTTATTTACATTTTTTCCAATGTTGATGTCCTATACCTCATTTACAGCGTATAATATATGGCATGTATATAATATTGCTACATTGTGTTTTTAAAATACAAGTTTATATATATATATATATATATATATATATATATATATATATGTAAACCTTTCTCTCAATCATGATTATGGAATCATAACAGAGGAAAGTGTGTAACATAGACCAACTTTTTGATTAATTAAAAAAAACTGTACTAATATGTTCTGTTTCACACAAGGAAATTATATATTGAAAGATGCTAATTTTAAGTTCCTCCGTATATAAACGATGCGAACGAACCTAAGACTAACATATTCTGCTGGGATTTAGAATAAATTCATTACATTAAATACACATATATGTATTGTCAATATATAATTTATGTATTTTTCCATAATTGCAAATCTAATCTCCGTTGTATATTTATTGTATATATATATCTGTTTTTTTTATATACAAGGAATTATTCATTTTTTATTTACAAGGAATGTTAAAAAATGGAAGAAGCAAATATGAAGGAGCTTTAGATATCATAGTAACAATCAAAAGTCCCTAGCGAACAGACTCGCTCGTTTCGTCAACTCGGAAATGCCAAACTTCAGACGCGTGCGTGTTCTAATCGATATAATGGATGGTGGCTATGTCTACTAAGGTTTCGTCAGTGCGATGCATAAACAAATCGAACGAGCGTTCTGTGAGTCAGCGTGCGCATGAAAAGAATCACCATTGTAGGTTTTTGCTTCCGACGACGAGAGAGTTGGTCGTTTTCGCGTGATCGGCCCGACACCGGATGTGTCGTCATGCCGTGTTGGCCAAGTTGGGATATCATGACATATTTTATATGTTAATATTCTAATCGCGAGATATATTTATATTTATTTTGAGGAGAGAGACGCGAAAGCGAAAACGTCTCAAAGATGGTTTTGGCGGACCTCGGACGTAAAATTACGTCGGCCCTGCGGTCGCTCAGTAATGCGACTGTCATCAATGAGGAGGTAAGTTTGCGTGTTTATCCGATATTCCCACGGCGAGATGATTCTCAAAGACGGTTTGTAAACAACGAATTAAATTGTCATAATTTAATATCTTCCAGCGTTGTATTCTTTATTCTAACATAGGATGCTTTGCACTTTTTTCAGAAATGTCTATGTATTTCTAATTATTTCTAATAACCTCGTTATATATGTCAAACTTATGTTTACATCGTAGGTTGGATTTGTGTTAAATTTATTGCGTGATAATATAGTAGATACCATAGGAATTTCGAAGAATTTTATTCTCGTCTTCAAAATATTATTTCTTTAAAATTATTTTTTTACTTTTTTATTTTTATATTCTATTAATATTATTTTTATATACATATGCCCATCGTTCTTTTAGTATATATCTTTTATAATTTGTTCTCGCTATTGTTTGTAGTTGTATCTTTACTATGCATTTTTATTAACAAATATACTTTTTTCCAGGTTTTGAATTCTATGCTAAAGGAGATATGTGCAGCATTACTTGAAGCTGATGTAAATATTAGATTAGTGAAAAAATTACGAGAAAATGTGCGCCAGGTTATCGATTTTGAAGACATGGCTGGTGGTCTTAATAAAAGGCGGATGATACAGAGCGCCGTCTTCAAAGAACTTGTAAAGGTTAGTCTCTCGTTTAATATATTTCTAAAGGCAACAATATTTACAGATGTATGAAAAATATATGTCAATACAACAGATATAGTTCTTAGCATTTAAATATATGTTTAATCAATAATTCTTTTAGTTGATTGATCCTGGTGTAAAAGCGTATCAACCAGTAAAAGGCCGTCCTAACGTGATTATGTTTGTCGGTTTGCAAGGTTCTGGTAAAACAACCACTTGTACCAAACTCGCGTATCATTATCTTAAGAAAAATTGGAAGGCATGTTTAGTATGCGCCGATACCTTCCGTGCTGGTGCGTACGATCAGATAAAACAGAATGCTACAAAAGCTAGAATACCATTCTATGGAAGGTAATTAATTGTAGAAGCAGAAAATGTTTATTACTATTCATTCTTTATGTATCCATACTAATACATAATTCTTTCTAAATTTAGTTATACAGAGGTGGATCCTGTAACAATTGCCCAAGATGGTGTTGATATGTTTAAGAAGGAAGGATATGAGATAATCAT